ACCGTTTTCATTGATTAGAGATGGAGGATGAATCAAAGTATTAACCGATATATGTTTTATTGCTTTTTTTTAAATTAATCGTATTTCAAAAAGATATTAACTTTATAATTAAAATTGTAAAAACATGATAATCTAAAAGATTTAAATATAACGCATATTAAAAATTCTTTTGTTTATATACGCGAAAATATTGTAAATATTTAATATAAATATAACAAATGTATACAAAGTGCACAAGAAAATTGTATTCCATTTTAAAACAAACTTATTTATAAAATAAAATAAATATAATATAATATATAATTTATATTCTCACGAGCAAATTCCCCACTTTGTGAAATACAAATAGCAATATAAATTTATTAACTTTATAATACCCATTTTGGAGGTGAAGCTTTCGTAATTAAAGTTTATAAAAAAAACTTTGATTGAAAATTATATTAAATTTATCAATTTATGAATTTTAGGGGTTTTTTAATGCTTTTCTCTAATAAATTAAAATAAAAAATGTATTTCCTCACGAGACCATCCCTAAGTTTCTCAAATACAACTCCATGTGCCTTTGTCTCTATAATTGTAAGCAGATTACCGCCCCCTCACGGCACCCAAGCAACCCCCAATGTATCCTTCTGGTATTTTCGTTTTTTATTTATTTATATTTTCGTTGCACTTGGCAACACTGCAATTTTTACTGCATATCTGGCTCTTCTATTTTTGTTTGGCTCTCGGCCCTCTTTCGGGCCACCCCTCATGGCCACCGACACGCCCTTTATTTTGGTGGCCCGGCCTGCGAAAAGTTCCTTCAACTTCACCTTGTGTTGCATTTGCTTTTTGTCATTGCCATTATAATTGATGGCAATATAATTTTATTTCTTCCCCTACAGCCCCCGGTCTCAGTCTCAGTCCCAGTCTCCGTCTCCTGCTCAGTCTGTCTGTCACTTTCTATCCCTTTATATCTGTCTCTATCTGTGGATACTACGGAACGGTTTTATGCAAATTTTTCGTGCAAATTGCTTTTAATGCATTTTGAATGCAATTTGTGTTTTGTATGTCGGAATTGGAGTGGCGCACACAAAAACTCGTAATTGAAACTGAAAGATTTTAATTTAATTTGAGTTTCTGTTTCTCTTATCGCCGTCTGATTCTGGTTCTGATTCTGATTCTGTTATTGTGTTTGCCTTTCCAACAGGGGAGAGTGCTCCTGTATTTTGTATATCCATCGCCGTGTTCCCAGTTCCCAGTTCTCATTTCCCATTTCCTACTTCCCAGTTCCAAGTTCCGGATTCTGTGTATTTTTAGGTCTGCTTGGCCCTTCAACCCATGCGGGATGTAACTTCCTTCTGCCTGTCTGCATCTGGCTGCCTGCATCGGGTTTTGAGCATTCATTGAATTGATTTAGATAAAATCACCGTGTGTGCCGTGTGCGTTGCACGTTTGTTTGTATATACATATATTTTTGTTGATTGCTATTGCGTAACTCTATGCAGCATGCTGCATGCTGCATGCAACGTGTCATTATGGCGCCCCCGAAACGCGTCACCAATTGGCGGCATGTATGTAAATGGTCCGCCACCACCGCCTCATCATAGACACATTTGAGGTGTTCCCCGGAGGTTGAGGTTGACACCAAACGAGCTTGTAAGTGTGGGCTGTGCGGGGTGGCCCAGAGATTTATGAGATGCACTCCATGAGGCATATAAATCACAATCTGGCGCTGCAAATTGTGGGGCGTCGTGGGCCCCCTGAGCTTCCAGGGGTGTGATAAGACTTTAATGAATTTTAGGGGGGGGGATTGATAACATAATTATGGGCTTTAGTTATTTATTTTTACGATTATGATTAAGCATCAAAAGTCTCAGCTTTAGATCCTTTTAGTGCATAAGTAGTCTAATTATTTTAAAAAATTAATCTGATTAATAAGCCCTGTTTGAGTCGCGTTAACTTTTAAGTAATTCCATTCCATGCCAAATCTCATTTGGCTTATTTCCTGACCCTCGTCCAGGTCCCGCTTTAATGATACCTTAGAGGGCCACTCACTGTTTTAATACCTTTGGCAATCAAATTAAATCCACACTTCATTCTGGATAATGGAGGGGATTTCCATAAAAAGTTGTTGCTTAATGCTCTTGATACGTATAATAAATGTTCTCTTCTCCACTGAATGAACTTTCGACCAGCTTGCTACTTGCTACTAAGTTGCTGCTTCTGCTGGAAAATCAAAAACTTTTACTGACCCGGACAGGATGCCAGTTTGCTGCAACAAAGGCTGCCATGTGCCATGTCCAGACTCCAAAATGGGATTCCATTTACGTATAAACGTATTTAATTTTTTAATCCCTCTCGGGTAACCACTCGAACATACATAAGTGGGGCTATCGCGGTGCGGGCGACCTTTTATAACCTTCAAATGAGCAGGCCACACCACCTCCCACCAAATAACAATTTAATTATGAACATACTGAGGCTCGACCTCTCCCAGTTCCCTCTCCGAAAGTCAAGGACAAATTATAGCCATAAAGCTGGCGTAGGCCGTTTGCCTGTGGGATAAGCTAAGAGCTCATTAATGTCACATTCATGGCAAGTCCGGGAAGAGCATAAAATGAGCAAAAATTCTATCAGAGTATGTCCCATACAGGGAGCTGGGAGCTGGGACCTGAGACCTCAGACCTGACTCAGACTCCATTTAAATTGAGTGCAAACAACAAATTGTGGGGCTGCAGGCCTGGGCCTGTGTGGCTATTCACTCAAGTCCCCGCTCACGAAAAGTGGCAGTAAAATAATGAAAATTAGCCAAAAACCCAACCACATTTGGGGCTATTCGTAAACTATATCATTGAAAGGGTAGTTCATATAAAAAAGGAACTTTTAGGATTTTAAAATAAAAATGTCAATCCTAATCTTTGCCATTTACTAGCGGGTATTTTTAAAGAAAAGAATTTAAAAACCTTTTCTTTTTTTTAATCCTATCCAGCATTTAGTTCCAAGTCTAGTGCTCCTTTTGAAACATTGCTTTGCTCGTCCGGTGCATCGACCAGTGGCTGGATTTATGTTTACCCGTCTCTCTAATTAAATTTAATATGCATATTGCCAAGGCATTTGAAGAGCCCCCGACCAGGACTCGACCGGTTCAAAGGATGTCGAAAGGCTGTGGGGCAGGTGGTTGGGGTGGTGGGGTTGCCGGGCTTGTGGTCGGTCTGCCGCTATATGGGTAATAAATTTGATTAGTAGGATTTACGGGTCTGGGCCAGGAAAGGCCAACGTGGACCGTCAAACGATTCTCGGTGCAGTAAATTTTATGCTAAACAGCAGTAGAGAAAGGTCACAAGGAGGAGGTTAGGTGGAAAGCCGGGGCTTTGCAGTTTATTGGTCTTTTCTTAACCCTTTGGTGGCTTTTGTTTTTTTTAGTGTTTAAGAGAGTTGATACTGTAAAATGTTGGACTAAACGTTATAATGATTAAAGAATAGATTACTGAGGCGTTGTGGCTTTAAAGAAAGATTAGGGCTCTCCAAAAAGTATGCAACACATCGATGGCGATGGCCCATCATTAACGTCATTATCGGTGCTGCAAAAAAGCCGATGAGAAATGGCTCGAAATGATGCCAAGGCCCTGAGCCTGGCCGAGATTATGCGATAATGGCCATGGGAGGCTAAAATGGCCAAACCTTAGCCCTATGGCTCGGCTTCATTCTGCGGCTTTCAGTCGCCCAGCATGCTGCCTTTCAGGCGGCTGCCAAAAAGTCGAAAGAAATGCAGTCAACGCCCCTGGCTTCTGGTGCTGGAAAAACCACACAACCTAAAGCACTGAGGAAAAATAATTCATAAATAATTATTCCAAAATATTTGAAGTAAAATAAGAAAATCTTAAATGACATAAAGGATTTTTAATGAATATTCAATTTTCAAATATTTAAAAAAATATTTTTTGAAAATGTCTGGAAATTTTTTTTCTGATACTGGTATTATATCTTTTCTATAAAAGTCCTTTCCTATTGAGGATCCAACCTCCTGCCGCCTTCGTCGTTATGACTCCCTTTGTGGCTCGGCGCTTGTTCCAAAAGTAAAAAGAAATTTTTATTTTCAATCGAATGGAAGCAACAAAAGGGGAACTAAGAATGCATTTTGATGATTGGCACTATTGGGACATAAATCTACATACTCAATTGGAGCGAAAATCAATTGAGGCAGGAGTCGAATTTAAATAGTATCCAAAATGAACAGTTTAGAGTGTTTGAGTTCATTGATTTATTTTCAATAAAACAAAATTCAAATCAATAAAATGCTAATGTTTTGTATTATTATTTTTTCATTTCAGGTAAGCCTTCTTGAATATTTGGGAAATAATAAAATCAGTGCGGAGATTATTTCTAAAGGCAATTGGCCGGCATCGGTAAAGCCATTATGTTGAAATTAATTGGTATTTATGTGCGCCTTAATAAGACTTGTTTCGCTGCTCAAATTATCGAAACATAATAATATTACAATTTTCCAGTAAAGTCGAAATGAAAACAACAGCCAGCCATCCAGCAACAATTTTTTAATGAAAATATCGCATTAATTATTATCAATTTTCAGAGAGTAGTGTTGATGGTTGGAAAAAATAAGCGAACGCTTGAAAATATGCCAACCAGCTATTGGGAAGTGCTAATAAATCAATGCAAATGCCATCAGCGAAAAAATGGCAATCAGTGATAGTACCACTCCCTGCCTGAAGCTGAGTGGTAGAATGCGCTATCCCTGTGGGGTTGTCAGTGGCGCATTAACATAGCAGTTATGTGCATATTAAACGAACATTATGTTCCTTAATCCAGACAATAAAGCACCCAACAATGCGGCAACAGCAAATAAATGGAATTATGCCACAGTTTTACAACAAATCAATGAACTGCATCGCATCCTACTGAAAATAAATGCAACAATTTCGGGCATTAATAAAATGAAATGTTAATGCCCCGCCACTGAGATAGGCCTATATGGAAATAGGTCAGAGATTAAATCGAAATATGCTTTACATCATGCCATAGAGATTAGCGTGGGAATTTATTTGAATAGGTCCGAGCAAGTGTTGATAAGGAATTATTTATAAGATTATACATATTGTATGTCCGTTGCCATAGATTCTAATAGTCCAGAGGTCCGGTAGTACAGTGGGTTTACTTATTTTCCGCCATGGACATTGCACACCCGGCAGTCTCCATTGATGATGACATTGCCCGGGTTCAGGGGGGTGGCTAATTGGGATATAAAAAGAAAAAAATAGTAAAATGGCTTAAATCCACTGATAGAGGAAACACTCACCGCTGGCCAGAGCCAAGAGGCCGAGGAGGAAGGCAACCGAGAGGAACTTCATCTTGCAAGTGGCTGGAACAGAAGCGAGTACTGAACTGATGTCTCTTGCAGTAACATCCCAGAGCTTATATACACCACGGAGCACCTTTGTTGTTATCAGTCGGGCAAAACCGCATTATTGTGTTTACGTTTGGTATTGCCCTATACCTGATTGTGAAAATCCCAACGCCTTCGATCTATCTCGCTCTCCGGGATTGATTTCAGGTTCAATTAGCCCCGCTGCTAATTCCACTTGAACTCGGCTCTGGTCTCTTCTGAAGAATCGTAGAACTCGTTCTCTAATCACTTTTGATTGGCATGCGTTCGGTGCGATCGTATAATATCGGGTTTGGATAAAAAACGCGTCACTCCCTCGGTCACAAGTATGAATGCATTCAAACTGGTTTATTTACGATTTACAAAGCTTAGATTCTTTGAAATAAGAAATCGGGATTAGCACACAACCACTACCTATTTTGAATAAAAAAAACATTTCATGTTTATGGTTGCATCTTAGTTGTTTAAGTGTTTATTGGGAATAAATAGTTTTTATTTGGCGATTAGCGATCGATAATTGTAATTAGGAATATTTATGTTGGATCTTAAGGATTTCCATTGTCCCTCTCCTTTCGAGGGCAACTCCACTGTATTCCTCTTTTGGACTTGGGCCTGTAAAGACACACACAAATTAATTTTAAACACTTGTTTTGTTTAATTTTCTTCTCACATTTCCAAACTCATAGAGAGCCCAAGGAAAGCCACCAGGACAATAAGGATTATTTGAAAGATTTTCATATTCTCAGTTGAATGTGTGCCGTTTGAAATGAAACTGACCACTCTGGATGTCGAAGGAGTATTATATAGCTATACTCTGTATATTTTTATCGCTGTATTATTTCTCTAGAGGATCATAAAATTATTATTCATTGAATTATTATTCATGTTTTTAAGAAACACAAGCTCCAATCAAAAGCTATTGTTTTGTAAAATTACTATTTATTATCAGTAACTTTTTTATTCAAGTTCCCTGAAGTGCGTAGAAGGGCTTATGCTTCGTAATTATTTTGTAGGGAAAACCCCTTTTTGCTAAAATTGTAGACTTCATCAAGGGATATGCGTCACCAAATTATTTTAAAAAGCCTAGGGAATATAATGAAATACGATTAGAGGGTATAGTGACATAATCTCATTTTAATTTGAACTTAATTTCATTTTAATTTTTAAAATTGGGGAAAAAAAATCTGAAGTCAAAATTGTTTATAATTTTTTTGCATTCAGAGCACTATTTGTAGAAGTTTTTTTTTCGAATTTTTCATGGTTGACAAAATCTTGTCATTTATTTTGTTATATTCTTGGGAAACCTCAAATAACAACTCAAATAACAGTTCTAAAGTTTAATATTTAAACTAGCAATTTATTAAATCGCATTATTATTAAAATAATGCAATTTTGATTTATTTAGTTTCGTCGCATTTGAAACAAAGTGCATCCTTTAAAGTACTTATCATTTTCGCAGAACTCCGGCTTTAGATTCCATAAGTGTCAATATTTGACAATAAGAATGTTGCCGACTGATTGTTAGTCCATTAGCTCAAGTCTATTAAATTAAAATGGACAAACCTGTCATTATTCTCCTTTAGAACAGCATCAAAACTCTACTCCGAGTACAAAAATATGGCCAAAAATGATAAATGCTCGCATTAAATTGATAATGCAATCTATAGAGCCAGGGATAGCATATCATCAGGGGGCGGATGTGTGGGCAGGGAATGCTTTCAGACCTCTTTAATGAAATTACGAACAGGACGGCCGTCAGAGGAGTCTCCGACAATAGAATTAATTAATTTACCGTGCCGGGTCTTGGACTTGCATGTCGTTTCGTTCTGGCAGACACTTTGACAGATGCATTGGGACGGAATCCTGTCGGATTCAGGACGAGGGCAAGGCAAGGTGCATTGGACAGAGTAGATTGAATTTCTGGTAGAATCTTTGACTGCTGCTCTGACAATGGGCAGTTAATATTTCCGATGAAATTAGTTAACTTGCCAGTTAACCTGCAAGCCTTGACAGACTCAGACCGAGTATGCAAATCACGAACGAAATTCGATTATAAAATATTAATCTATTAATTAGTATGCCGCTCACTGAGTCGACCCTCTCGCCCACTCGTAAATCAAAGCTGGGGCTCTCTAATGTCTAATTGTGAAAGGACGAACCTACTGGAATGATACTTTAGCCTTTACTTGACACTTTCCACGTCTCATTGTCAATTTTGGTGCCGCAATTTATGCTAATTTAGTTATAACCTTTCTTGAACTCACACATACAGACTAGGAGGGGATCTGGCAACAATCCATTAGTGGGTTACTAACGGCACCCGGCCGCCATTTTGTGTAGCAACTGCAAATCAATGCCCTGACATGTGAAAAATGGCAGCCCAAGGGTGGCTATGGCCCCCGCCATTGTTGTAGGTCTATTATAATATTGGCATATTATTTTATGCATGCAACTGTGGCCATGACACACACACACAGAACACACAGGACACATAGAACACACACTTTTGTGATTGTGTCTGCATTTTCGTAATCAACCTCATGATAAATCGTTGGCGCAAAATTTATTGAGTTTTTGCATGACATTACCGAAGCGACAGCAGCTGCAGCCCGGAACATAAAACCCATAATAGGAACGATGTTGAATCTGGGTTTTTGGGTGTCTCTTCTTTTGAAGGATAATCATCCGTTCGAACCCTTTTTGTTATTATACTTTTACTTAAAGAAAAGCCCTTAAAGTTCACCAATCGAAGCAATAATTTTTCTCTCGGAAAGATATTGATAAAAATTTTTTTTCCCCTCCAGCCTAGGCACTCGCATGTAAATTTCGGAATTAAATTTTCTTTCAACATGTAAGCATGCACTGCCAGAGTATGCGAGTAAATTATTCTGGACTATTTTTGGAGAAGAATTCTCGAGTTGCATGCAACGAATCGAATGGCATCCTTATCGTGTTTGTCCAGCTGCTGCCGGAATTGCTTTGAACAAAAACTGACTGCAAAATTTCTTTGTTAAAATTGTTCATTTAACGAACTACCGCCCGAATTCCAATAAATATAAAAAGTACATATATATACGTTATACGTATTTGTATGCAAAATTGATGGCGAGTCAACGAGTTATGAAAAGAAATGGCCTTTCTGATGATGGCCTGGTCTCACAATGGATTTTCTTGTATTCCACCGCCTCTGCCTCCAAACATGATTGATGACCGGAATGATTTTCCATTGAATTCAATTTTTCCACCCCGCCTCCCATCTTAATTGAGATAACAAAATATTTTCTTAAATTGTGAAATATTCAAGGCTTTTTCTTTGGTAAATGTATATATGGCCTTCTAATTGTTTTGTCTTTTCCATAGATTTTTGCACTTGATCCTTTCTGTGCACTTTGGTGCCATTAGAATCCATTAACAAGCCCCAACACTTCCTTATATTTTCGGCCTCTTCTAAGCTGTAAATTTATGCTAAAGGATATTAAATATGTGCATATTCATTCTCCATTTTGGCGAATTTATGTTTGCATAGTTTTGCCAAAACTATTTCGGGGTGAATAAAAGTTAAACTTTTCTAATTTTTTAAAGCGACTATAGGTAAAGGAATTTATCCTCCCAAACTATGTTAATTTGAAGACTAGATGCCTATGTTCTTCAAAAAATTGAAACCATTTTGGACAATTCTGCATAGACACTCTATCTGAGTACTATCAGAATCGCACTCGAGTCGAGGGGCTGCTGGACACAAAAGTGAAGAACGCTTCTTATCTTTGAAACATTTCGTTAATAAACTTGAGAATTATGAGGAAATGCCATGACTTATATGGGTTATTAAGCCCGGGCCAGTGGGCCACCAGATACCCCTCGGTGTGGGTCATAAAATTATTTTGGAAATATGGCAGAGAATCAGAAAATGCTAGAGGCGCATGACAAATGGCCAGAGTGAAGTGGTCTATGTTCGTTTCTGGTCTGATTTCTGGTTCTGTGGTCACTGGGCAGTATGCAGTGTGCCGTGTGTAGTGCGCCTGAGTAAAAACTATTAGTCTGACATGCCAGGCGGTGGAGCGGCGGGGCGCCAGGACATCACTGTGCAGATGTTAGGTGGCTCACAACCAGAACCGGACAGGAAGCAAGTCCCCTCCCCAAATGTCCAACTGCTGGCGGAGAACAAGTTTTTTGGCTTTGCACTCGAATGAACCAGAAACAATGGTCATGGGTCAGCAAATGATACAGAGGCCTGCAACCGCCTCCATGAAAAAGTCCTGGTGTGGCGATGTACCATCCGGAGTCTGTAGTCCGGAGTTGTCTGCTGGTCGTGTTCGTGTCGCTAATGTCAAAACCTTTAAAAAAGGGTTTATACTTCATTTTTTGTGCCACATAATCAGTTTCTGATTCTGTGGAGCTCCATAACATACTTGGGGGGGTCGTGAGAGCCAAGATGCTGGACGAATGGGCCATAAATTTGAATTAAGTGCTGGTCTTTATTTGCTGCTGATTTACCATGGCTAATGCTATTGCCCCGGCCATAACCATTTTATGACTTTCACTCTTGCAGTTATACAAGCATATTCACAATTCTGCGAATGTGTATCAGATTTAAGGGCCAACAAGACTCACAGAACAGCAACTTTTTTAATTTTCCCTTTCCATCAAGTCAGCATACATATTTTTCCAATTCGACAGCAACTTTAACACTTTCGAAATTCGAATTCTTTGATTGCCTGTCATACGAATGCCATATTTTTTGCAAACAATATATAGTCGCATCCTATAAACAGGACACGAAACCAAAATGGCGACGAAAAATATCAAATAAAGGCAGCCAGAAAAATAAAAGGAAAAACGAAAATATTTGTTGCCTTATTAAAATTCCATGCAAATTCGTTTATGGCGACTTTGGTGGGCAGAGTCCTTGCCAGGATGTGTGTGTGTTTGTTTTGCGGCAACAATTGTTTCGACTCGGGGAGCCCAAAGAATGGAGGAAAATAAGTGAAAACCTAACGAAAAGTTATTTCATATGCG